TTATCAATTACATTCTTATATTCTCCTGATTAGCTGGCACTTGGTGCTTAACTTCACATTCTGAGCTCTGCAGGGTCCTTTTAGACATTATTATTGCAAAGAAAAATCAAAAATCAAAGTGAATTCTTGGTATTACACTTGAAGCCATAGAGGTGCAATTGCTGAAACAGCAGCCAAGCGTTGTGCTATAGAACTGACTCACAGCTTGGTGCCCGGCCCCGCTGAGAAGGAAATGTAGGGGAACTGGAAGAGTTTTACTACATCTGCTCCCTGCTGCTAATGAGCTTTAACCTGTTTCCTTCTTATTATGCTTACTGTTTAGATATTTTGCTTGCAAAATTAATTCTTTAGCCAGGAGAACACATGAAAGAGGCTATGATTTGTAAAGTGGGGCTGTTTAAAAATTAAAAGCTATCGGCAAGGGAGATTAAAGGCTATAATGAGTAATATGGTTACTTAATATCAATTCAAGAGCAGAAGCTCAGGTGGTAAAGCTGGAGTTTCAGCTCCTTCTGTAATGTGGGCTACAGCTTTAGGAGGCAGAGTCTTCGTTTTGCATTGCGCATCTGCACCCATACACTCTATGTGTATCAATCAAAGAGGTGTAACAGTATTTCTTGCTTTGAAAGCTTCTTTGCTCCTCTAATGGGTGCCAAAGTTTTAGTGATATGTAGCCTCTGAAAACAAACAGTTTTTAGCAACAGTATCTTTTTTAGCCAAGAATTAATGTACTACATATACACAACTGCTTATAACCTATACCTGATCACCTAAACACAAACAACAAGAACCCAAAGAGTAAATAGGCCCTGAGATTATTTTTAATGTGATAATTATCATGTTATTTGTATAGCCTTAGGATTTAGCTATTTAAGTACTTTCACACATTCCTTTGTTCTCCACCTTAACTTTCTAAGATAATCATATAGGTATTGTCTATTTAATAGATGTAAAAATGGAAACTTGCAAATGAATGTCATTTATCATAACTGGATGAAAATTGTCAATGGGCCAGTATAAATCAGCGCGCATCCCATTGATGGGGGGTAGGATCATCATCTTTAGATCTGCGGAGTCATCCTCACCACTCTCATCATCTTAGCCAATAATAAGCCCACAAAGCTATCCTGCTTCTTGAGTAGAAGCCAAATGTATTAGGTTTTCAGCCAAAATTGCACATTATTTTTGGTAATGATATGATTTGGAACATTTTGCAAAGAAAAGCAGTTTATTCTAAGACAGCATTTCTCAAACTTTTTGCTCTTGAAAGTAGGAAAAAATTCTTGCAGATGTCCAGTTTGGGCCTGCATTATTTTGTTATAATGTTACTTTTACATATAAACCTATAAAACTAGCTATGAACTCCTTTACGTATAGCTTTTATCAACTATACAACTGAAACAAATGTGAAAGTTAAATAAAAATAAACCTACAAAACTAATGCAACTATAATTAAAAGCATCACTTTATTGTAAAACATGCTATAATTGATTTTAGTCACAAATATATACAGTTTTATTTCAAAGGACAATCATTTTATTTATTTTTACTTTTATTTGTTTATTTTTTTGAGGAAGATTAGCCCTGAGCTAACATCTGCTACTAATCCTCCTCTTTTTGCTGAGGAAGATTGGTTCTGAGCTAACAACCGTGCTTATCTTCCTCTACTTTACATGTAGGACGCCTGCCATAGCATGGCTTGCTAAGTGGGTGTGTAGGTCCGCACCCAGGATGCAAACTGGCGAACCCCGGGCCACCAAAGCAGAACTTGCAAACTTAACTGCTGCACCACTGGCCCAGCCCCTCAAAGGGCAATCATTTTAGTAATCCTAACATTGATTAATAAAGAAATATCACTGAACAAAGATATCTTATTATGTATTTACTTCTACACAACTGCTAATGAGCTACTGCAAATTAATACCCAAAAGGTAGGACTCCTGTGATGTATCTCCTAACCAAAGAAATGCTGACTCCTATGGTATGACTTCTTTTCCAGCCGGTGTAGCTATTCTGCAATGTGACATGTGATGACTCATTTCTCCCACTATTTCTCTTTACGTGAACTACTGTAAAACCCTCTTTTGAGCAGAATGTCGTGTTATCATTTGTCCTCTACTTGGCACGAGGGCATCATTTATATATTAAGTCCATCTAATTCTTTCCCTATTAGCGTAAGACAAAGTAGTACATTACTCCACTGCAATATAATTTCCTAATGTCAAATCATAATCTCAATAAGTTAGGAAACTAAAGTCTTACTCTATTACTTTAATGGTGAATTTTGACTACAAAGCCGAGTTTTGTCTTTGTAGCTGACAGAAGACTCCAAGGGCAAGAATAGTGAACACCAGAAGAATGAGCGCAATATTTAGTGTCCATGTTTGCATACGTTGGTGCCAAATGACCACTTTAACCAGTAGGTACTTCAGATGTTAGCTAGCATCAACACAAACGTAAACATGATCCTAAATACATGTGGCAGTACCCGAATATAAAGTGATCATCTAGATCAATCTAAAAATGCTTATATTTTTCTCATAGTGACACTGAGATGGGAATTAGTGTTATCTCCATTTTCCAAATGAGGAAATTAAGAAGTTAAATGACTGCCCAAACAACATACAGCCAGTAAGTGGTGGAGCCATGATTTGAGCCCTACTTTGGCTCATGTCAGGGTTCTTAATCGCTGCAAGTGACAACTTGGAAAAGAGCAATGCTAACACAACTGCATCCATTAGTCACTTAAATGCACGTGTGTATTTTGCTATGTTCCCTTTTTTAATGGGAAACATATAGGAATGGAATTTTTAAAATTACTTTCAATGTCTACTTCATCGTGAACACAAGTAATACATAAATTTTTTGCTAAAATATTGATTTGAAAGGATGAGATTCATCTTTTTCTTTTTTCAAGGAAACAAAGTAGACAAGTTTATTATTTGACTAATTAAGCATTCTAAAACTCATTCAGCAAAAATATATGTCTGTGTGTGTGTGTGTGTGTGTGTGTGTGTGTGTATTCTAAAACCAAGTGTCTTATTTCAAAGGGCAGCCAAAGACAGAATGGAGACCCTGAGGCTTCTTATAGTCATTGTAAATTAGAGCAATTTCCATTTGAATATGCTTTAAAGTCTTCCTCAAAGCTACTACTTTTTAAATTTATTCATTTGTGGCTTATTCACTTAAATCATTTACTCTACATCAGTTTGTTTTTTTAAATAACATTTTTTCTGATTATAATAGTAATATGCATGCATTACAGAAATTTGGAAAATCCATTAAAGTACAAAGAAGGAAATGAAAATCTTCCCTCTCTCCCCAAAGCGAATGACGGTTTAATATTTGGGTGCATTTTCTTTCATAAAGATATCCCAGATGCGACTGGGCCTCACACACCTGCTCCTTGCCCCTGAGCAGGAGTCAGCACTTAGTCACCTGCTCAAAGCAAAGCTCCCTTTCAAAGTATAAGAGAAAAATGGAGATTTTGCTGGAGTTTCCAGGAGGAGGCAAAGGAGAAGGATACAATACACATTCCACAGAAAAACTTAATAAAAATCTCCATTAGACATCTGGGTTCTTTGCCAGGCCCCTAATTCCTGTGGACTGCCAACTGCCTCAACTCCTTGCCTCTCATCGGTCCTTCCACCCAGAGCCAGTCCTGTTCTTAGCTCCAGCCTCTCCTCTCTGTGCCCGCACATGGATCTCTCCATTGAGTAAGTAAAGGACCCATCTTAGCATCCTCTAGCTTTACGAGCCAGCAGAGGCTTGCAAGAAACCTGTGTTTTTTTTCCCCTTGTAACAGATAATTTTGTTCTGTCTCATTCAGATATGTATGCATATGTGTATATATGTGCAAATAAATACATGCGCCCTTACATTATCTATCCACTTCATTAAAATTGTACCTGTTAGTCTTTGAACTGATTTTTCTCCCACATAATATATTTTATTTTCCCTTACAACTAAATGTTCTTTGAAAACATGGTTTTTCGTAGTCGTATAGTATTTCATTATATTATATACTATAAAGTATTTGACTAGTACTCTATTTTGTGTGTATGTTTTTGAGGAAGATTGGTCCTGAGCTAACATCTTTTTGCTTGAGGAAGATTGTTGCTGAGGTAACCTCTGTGCCAGTCTTCCTCTATTTTGTGTGGGATGCCACCACAGCCCGGCTTGACAAGCAGCACTAGGTCCACACCCGGGATCTGAACCTACGAACCCCGGGCCACCAAAGTAGAGTGCACAAACTCAACCACTATGCCACTGGGTCAGCCCCTTGACTAATACTTTATTGTTGGGTATTTTGGTTGCTACCAATTTTTGCTATTATATGTAACACTGTGATAAACATCCAATATAGCCCCAATTATTTACTTTGTGAACGTTTCTAGTTATTTTCTTAGAATAAATTTCTAAACTTGGAATTTTGGGGTCAAATTGAACAAGCATTTGGAAATTTGATATAAATTGCCTCAGAAAAGTGTTAGCATGAAACATTTATTGAGCGCTCATTGGGTACTAGGCACTATGCTGGCTGCTGAGGCTTCAAAAATATGTAGAATGTATTCTCTCTTATTAAAGAACTTATAGTTGAGTATTTGCTTTAATTAGATGGTTGGGCCCTACTACTTTCTCTAAAGTCCATTTGAGTTTACACTCAATGATATGATTGAGAAGCTGCTGGCTCTGACCCTAAATTTATTTTTAAAATATATATATCACACACACAAAAACCTTTCTAAGTCTTGAAACCAACTAAAAACTTCCATATGCAGGGGCCGGCCCAGTGGCGCAGCATTTAAGTGCACACGTTCCGCTTTGGCAGCCCGGGGTTCGCTGGTTTGGATCCTGGGTGTGGACATGGCACTGCTTGTCAAGCCATGCTGTGGCAGGCGTCCCACATATAAAGTAGAGGAAGATGGACACTATGTTAGCTCAGGGCCAGTCTTCCTCAGTGAAAAAAAGATCATTGGCAGCAGTTAACTCAGGGCTAATCTTCCTCAAAAAAAAAAAAAACTTCCATATACAATATTTGCCAGTATATAAAATTGCAAACATATACGATAGTTTTCATTTTACCCAAAAAATTATGTTGTGGTTTTCTTTAAAGAAAAAGATAATTACTTCATAATTATGGATTGAAAATTATTTTAATTTGGTCTTGAAGAGGAAGCTGCTGTTTTGTTCATTATCAATGGTATATATTGAAACTACCATTTTAAAATTGGGTTACAAATGGACATCGGCTAAGCCCACGACTTTGAAGTCTCAGCAGAAATGTACTTAACGCTCCTTTTCTCCTTCAGTCTGGCCACAGTGAACATTTGCAGACCATTTTCAGGACTACCAGAATGCAGGGGATATAAGGAGGGCTGGATGGAAATGTGTCAACCTTCTGGGAAAGGCTGAATGACAGTGACTTCCCAGATTAATAGAATAGTAACATTAATTGGCAAATACAAACACATTCAACCTTATGAATATAACTTTAAGCCAGACTGTTCTCATCACCAACATTTTTAGGCAGAATCGTATATGTTGTTTCTCTATTTGTGTGTTTTACAAATGAAGAGGGACAATAGTCACTTTTACATTTCCTCTGTCACCTGAAAATCATGATGGTCTGAATTCAGTGGTTAAAATAGACTATTTTGTGTAATTAAGGCTGCTAAATAATCCAAATGACAATCGACTCCTTAAAAGACCTTAAAACTATTGAATAACGGTGTGATAAAGAGCTTTGAAAGGCTAGGAAAGAAGACGGACAATGGCAGAGGTGGGCCTAGCAACAGCCAGGCTTTTAGATGCCCCTCACTTCCTTTTTCCATGTTAGATGACTGAACAGCCCTCATTTCTGTAAGTGTGACAGCACTTTTCTTAGGCCTGAATTGGATGTAGTTATTTTAAGAGTATCTAAAAGACATAGTAGTAAGAGTAAGGATTTAATTTTAACAGCTCCACCACAACGATATACACAATACCTTACGTTTTAAAAGGGCTTACCGTACTCAAAAAAAAAAAGAAAGAAAGAAACACGTGAGTGTTGTGTGCACAGTGGTTTACACAGAATGATTATCATTTGCTCTCGGGAAATAAACTCCCTCTTGGCCTTAAATTCCTATATTTCTTCACAGAGTTGAAATGACAGTTAAAGGCATTCAGAAATTTAAAGTAACTGATTTAACAACCTCGGACAAAGAGAACATGTCTAAAAGTTTGTTTCAGTGTTTGACTTGACCTAAGAGAGTTTTCCTGAGACTTATTTTCTAAACAGTACCCTAGCACCTTGGGCCAGCAAAATGGCCTTTAAGCTTGAATGAACAAGGTATTTCTTTCCTCTATTGTAAAGCTTCACTATTTCATCTTTTCAAACTCTTTTACTGCACTCAGTGAGGAATTATATTGACAAGGGTAGAATTTATCTCCTAGAGGAGAATGCTATGCTTCTGTTAAGTGCTAATATAACATTTATGTGCTGGTACCTTAATAACAGCCCCAGCTTACCTAATGAAAGTTGAAAGCAAACAGTACTCTCTGAGATTTTATTATGACTGAAGTGACTGCAATTTGAGGCAAATTATCCCTATTTTTGTTCCCATATCAAAAACAGAGATGCTAAAGCAATTGCTGCATGTTTGGTATGGAATTAGGTTCCACTCTCATTAATCTACACGGAAGAGCATTTTTCATGTAAACAGCTCACGAGGGTCAGAGAGAAGAGCTGTTTCTGTGAAAAATGCTTGTCAATAACTTTGTGAGTGAATTTTGAAATAAAGTGCCTGTAACCTGTCATTATTCCTTCCTCTCAAAGTCAAGAGTGAGTGGCTGAAAATTGAGCACGTGAATTGAAAGCAGGGTGAGTGTTATGGCCTTATCGACTTCAGGTAAAATGACTGTTTTAACTTGTTATTATTTTTCCATTCAGAGGTCAGGCAATGTACAGTATTACCAGCATGGACTGCAGTGTAAGCAAATTGGTATACAAAAAGGCTATTACCCACACTCACAAAGAAGAGGAAAGTATAAGTCACTAATACCAAGAGGACTTGTGATCGCTACAAAAGCGAAACAACCAACAATGCTTTGGAAAAGAATAGTGTGGATGTGTAGATATAAAGCACCTAGGAGGCAGAAAAAATAAACCTGTTTATATAAGGATGCACATGTTTAGAAGGCAGGTAAGAAAATTTTAGTGAACATTTTTTTTAAATCACCTATTAATCATACTTCATTTGCAAAGGAATTACGAGATCTGAATACTGAATGTTAGACACCCAAACTCTACATGTCACCTTAACATTTCTTCCTACCTCAGATCATCTTAAGAGTAATTAACTGTTGAATTTTCAAGTCCATCTGATAGATTCTTATCAAAAGCAAAATACTGCTGTGGTCTTCCTGTTCCCTAGAGAAAAAGAAAATCAGTGAGACTTCAAAACATCAAAAAACCCTTTCCTTGTCTTTGAGATATTTTTTTCCAATTCTGAAGAACAGCTTAAGAATTTAATGTGGCTGTTTTAGATTTGCAAGAAAAATATCTTGTCTCTAAGTAATCTCAGGTCCATAGAAAGTGTATATGTAATACTATTATTCAAATACTTTTATTTTTCCTTTTAGAAGACCATCTAGTGGTGTGTCTTTGATACTGATTTTTCCATTATAGACTGTGTTGATCAGAAAATGAGCAGATTGGACTAGAAATCAAAAGAGGTTATATAAGGACTAGATAACAGTGATTGAAAGCAAGTTTAAGGGGAGAGAAGGGTACATATAATTTTGAAGACATGTTCATATGTTTATTCACCAAATTTCCACATAATGTAAAAGGTTTGGGTTCTCTTACTTCTAAACAAGTTTTCCTGGCTTCAAAGTAATTATAACGGCCTAAGATTAAAAGAAATACATTGGCATTTCTTTGCTCTGCATTTGATAGTTTATTCATTTCTTTAAACAAATATTTACTGGTTGGACACTGTGCCAATCATGATAATACAGTAACTTCAGGAGAAGTTACCTTTATCTAGTGAAGAAGAGAGGAAAATAGTAAGGTAAGTTGCCATGATGCTACGAGAAGAATGCAGTCTCCATGGAGGTAAGGATCTTTATCTGCTTCTGTTCTGTTCAGGGAAATATCCCAACCTGGCATACAGCAGACACCAGACAGATATTTGTTGAATGCTGAATGGACATGATTGGGGCGTGTACAGTGCATTTAAGAGACTATGAGAGAGTCAGAGAAGACTTTCTCAGTGAAACGTAGGTCTAACCTCCAGGAATGTTGACATGATTAAACCAAGCAGAGTTGGAACAGCATCTTCTGTATCAAGGGAGCAGAGAATTCCAAAACTGAAGTTAGAGAGACCAGAGAGTTGGATGAATTGCTGTTAATTCTTCTTGGCTCCAGCAATGAGTGAGGGGTGGGGCACGCAGAGTTGGTTGAAGTAAATAGAGGCCAGACCTAAAAGACCATGTAAGCCAAGCCATGAAGTTTGAGCATTAGATCAAAAGCTATTGAATGATATTAAGCATGCAGGGCTTAAAAAAAAGGGAGTGGGGGACCGACATATCTTAGAAAAAGACTACGCTGACTGGAATATAGCAAATGGATTGAAGAAGACTGGAATTGAGGTGCCCAGTTGGAAAGCTTTACAGAAATCCAAGCAACATATAAATGACAGTGGCCTAAATTAAGGTAGAAGTAAAGGGACAGAAAGAAATAGGTATATTGAAGTGATATTAAGGAGTTAGAAATGACAAGACTTGGTGGCTGCTTGGATGAGGTGGGGAGAAGTTGGTAAGGAAGATGGAAGAGACAAGGACAAGACTTAGTTCTCCAGCCTTGGACAACTGAGTGGATGGATGACATTTCCCAAGTTGAGGAAGGAATGTTTGGTAGGGAAGGTGGCCAGTTTACTTTTAGATGGGCTGAGTTGTTTAAAGCGTCATGTTGTTATAGCCCAGGTTTCCATACTGGTCCCCTTCTTCCTATACTCACAGACTAGATTTTCATGAATCCATTACAAATGGATGAAACAAATCTAGGTACCTACTATGGTAGTTATGGGCATACTTTTCTTACATACAATACAAATTGCATTCTTCAACATAAAAACATTCTTCTTCCTTCATAAAAGTCTTTCTGAAATGCAGAGGTATACAAGAGTAAACTGTTTCTAAGAGCTAAGTTATTGTAATTATCCTGAATTGTGACTAGTCAATGGAGAGCAGGACGCCACAAAGTGACTACAAATCATGTGCTGTACCCTTTAGGAGTTAATTGTGAGTAATTATGAGGTAAATAAACTTCAATATTTTTGCATTTCAGTTGTGTGACATGTAAGGACTAGAGTAATGAGTTGAATTGAATATATCTGCCCACATATGTTTATAATGTAATTTTAAAATTTTTTAGATCTCTTGGTTTTTACCGAAGACATTAAACTAGAGATACAAAACCTATTCAAAGTGAAAACATAAATAATAGGACTCCTACTTTATATAGGTAATTATGAGCAACAATTATTAATTAATTAGTTAATTAATAGCTAGCAAACTAAAATTCTTTGTCACCTGTATTTCAACCTGTTTCCATTTATTACGTAATTATAATTTACTAAAAATTTACTTAAATGTGTATATGCAAACTAATAAGTTTTCTGAAATATAGCAGATCCATCCCAACATCAACATCCTGATTATTTTCTTTTATTTCTAGGAAGAACGTGCCAATGACCTGGTGGTAGAGAGAGTTCCCCATCTCTCCAGAGATGCTGCGATTGAGTGGTACATCACTGCAGTGGCAGATGAACCATTCAGCAGGAGGCATTTGGCTTTGAAGAAGATATCCGAGGGTTTTCAAATCGAATGTGGAGCTGTGGCATCCAGTTCTACTTCCAGCGCGTCTATCTCCATTTCTCTAAAATGGGCCTCACCTTCTATTTCTTCACCTGATTTAAACAGGACTCTAGAAGTCCTGATGACCAGGTTTGTACAAGCAAGGCGAAGACTCTCTGAAGACAACCAAGTTGCGCCATTGTGTTTTAGGATATTCTATATAAAAGACAGCATTAATGCTGAAGTCCTGCAAGCAGGTAAGGGAACCATTAGAAAAGTGAGGGGAAAGCACAGACTGTGGAATCATATCATATATGCTTGTCAAAGAGAGAGAGAGAATAACATAAGCAGCATAGGAGATTTTTGCCCCCAGCCCAGTTAGTGAGAGTGAACATGAGATGGGAGATGTGAATGTACTGTTCCCTCTGTTGATCTCAGTTCTCTTAGCCTTTTGTATGAACCTCTCATTCTCCTACACATGATTCCAGTGTTTAAAGAAATGTATTTTTCCTACTATATAACCCTCTTTATTATATTCCAAACCATGTTGTACGCAATATACATTTTTACATACGTATTAATGAATAGGTTTGTGTACAAAGTACCAAAAATACTATACTTTAGAGATGACTTGTAGGGTTTAGACCAACCCAGTGTAATTCTGACTTCACGGCACATAAGCGAGAGCCAAAATCTCATCCCCAAAAGCAGCTCTGACACAAAAGGGAGCTTCACTATTCATGTTCCAAACGCATTTTACTAAAAGGGCTTTGATTCATCTTCTAAGAGACAGAAACAGGCCAGTGTGCACTAGGCATATTTCTCCGTGTGGCTGGCTACCAAAGCAAGAGGTTTGAACCAATAGGCACACTTCATTCTCATCAAACAAGTCATGCTCAGGAGTCAGAACTTTCAGCCTACCAACTGGTTCGTTTCCAATTTGAATAGCAGCGGGACGTTCTCACTCCTTCACAGGCTGATGCGAGTTTTGATTTTCATTGGACCAGCCTCATGTAAATAGGATTCACTGACTGAATTTGTTTCAGAACGATCAATCCCGATTTGATGTACTATTCCTTTATCACATTAGCCTAAATTGCCTGTAAAGCCCCTCTGTGGGTTTTAAAATGTTCTTGTACCTCAGGCCTTACTATAGGTGCATTTGAATGCAATATTTGCAGATTGAATTGTACTTTGGACATTTTATGGAAGTTAGCTTTTAAAATGCATTATTTCCCATATTGGATATTTCTAAAGTAAAGTGAATACCTATTTGCTCATTCATCTTTTGTTTAAATACAGATTTTAAAGTATTGAATCTGTTTAAAGCAAGAAACTTTCTGTCGCTAACATCTCTTCTTTAGGTCTTTTGGTGATTGTTTCTTTGCAGACTAAACAGAATAATAGCAATTATGTCACGCCAACCCAGTGGTATGATTATCTTTGTATTACAGGGAAGAGAGCAAGTCACAGGTGGTTCTGGTCCCCATCCCAAGATCAGTCACCTGGCTCCTTAGTGGGTAGTTAGGTACAGAATCCTCATTATCTGAGTTCTGGTTCAGTGTCCTTTTCATTGCTCCACCGTCTGCTGCAAGAAGAAAATAAGTGTATGGAAAACAGGGAAGTGGCTACTTCACATGTCATTAGAAAGCCTATCAATGGCTTTGAAATTGGCTCATAAAGGGAAAGCAGAGACTATACTAATAAACTCAGTGCCTAATGAGCATAGCTAAGTCTTTTTGCAGCCTTGGATTTTCCATAGTTTAATCCTTTGTGAAATAAAATGCACTGTAATGGCCATAACATAGCACCCCGGGACAACTTTAGTTTTGGGGAAATACTTATTACATATGTCTTCATAAAAATAATTGTAGACACATCTTTGTGCCTGTATGCTAGTATTTAAGGGCAGGGTCTATACATTCACATTTTTATGACTATGACTATGAAATATTGATTTGTATTAATTTAATAATGTGGAAGATGGTGCTCTAAGATCCAGTGTCCTATTTTTCCTACTTAACCTGAAGCAATATTAGACGGAAATTCAACTTGGCATTCTTTAATATATTTAAAACATAAAATAAAAAAGCAATGAAAATATAGCAAAGAACAAGCTCCCCTCAGTCAGGGAGGAAGGAATAAACGGAGAGCCTGACACATTCTGGTTATGTTCTATGAGAACTAGATTTAGAGAAAAAGATTAATCTGGTAAAATGTATTTTGTTTTTGCAGCGTACCTACTTGATTCCTGACATTCCACAATCTCATGGTATTCTTTGAATAAATTATACTCGTTTTGTTTGAAAAAGACATTTAACATATATTAAATAGTGCAGTTTTGTGGGGAGGGGAACTCTGCTAAGCTACGTGTTATACTAAAGGCTTTGGGTGCAGAATGAGTCATCGTGGTTTTTATTTATTCATTCATCCTTGGATCCTTTTAAAACTCTCTAAGGCCCTAATGACCATCATCATTATCATCACTGAAAACTGCTTTCTGGTGAAAAGGCAATAGGCATTAAATTTAGAGGCAGCGTTAAATTATCAGTAAAGAGGACGTGGAATAGTACTACACACGTATTCCTGGACACAATGTACTGAAAGTTCCTCTGGCCCCAGTCGGGCAATCTTCTTTATAAAGTTTGCCGTTACGTTGTTCTCTTCTCCTTTACAGGGCAATATCATTTAGCTCAGGAGAAAATAAAGTACAGGCCAGTTCCTATGCACCAGTGTTAAAGATTGGAAGTCACAAGAAAGTTCTTAATTATAAGTAAAATTTTAAGAATTCACAGTATCAGAACCTTACTGCAAGCCTTTCCCTTACCTCCTGTGGTTCCTTGCATGTCTTAAATAAACACCTTCCAGTGAGTGGGTGAAAAAAATCAGTCAGAAGTGTTTTGAACTAAATCTTATTAAGTCCTTTCTGTCTCCGAGGTACTTTAAATATTCCATTGTCATTCAGCAAACATAAAAGAGGCTTTACTTCTCTGTGTCATCCCCAGCAACAGAATTAGAACTAGATTTGCAGGGCCAAACCCCCTGATTTGGGGATGAATTTAGTGTGGCATCTGAAAGTATGGGAAAGTTAGTACCTTGTGATCAATCCAGAGGGTCACTCCACCTGGCAGCGCTCGCCAGTCTCCTTCCTTCCCCTCAACTCCACCACAATTTGGGCAACTGATGCAGTTTAGAAAGTTATCCGGAAGAGAGCAGACCAGAGATGATGACTTTCTTCTTTTGTCGAAACATTGTAAGTTAGCGCAAAGTGTTCTGAGCTTGGAACAAGGCTATTAGAGATCGTTCTCTGCTATAAATGGTCCATTCTCTTAAGCTCTCTATTTAAGCCTGGAGGTTGCCAGATTTCTGATTTTGAATGAGACGACCAGGTATTTGAACTTTCTGCCTGATAAAAACAAAAGCAAAAGCAAAAAACCAAACATAAGATCCCAGTGTGGAACAAAATGAGTACCATATAATGTAAAATGTAACTTTTAATACAGGCTATTGTTGACAAATTTTCCATATCTGTTAATGTGGTTCTTTTTCAGTTTGGTCAAACATATTTTTACCAAGAGTGACAGATATCTTTTTGGAAACAGCTGGCAATTTCTTTAAAGCCTCTTTTTCTGTAAAATGGAAATGCCAAGCCTTGTCCACATTTAGGGTGCTAATGTTGATCGATTGAGATAATATACGTGAAAGCATTCTTGTTCTTGGTTAAATTTTGAACCAATGCAAGTAGTTGCTGTCGTGTTTGCTGCTATTCTCCTGAGACTCCTAGAGGATATATCTAGTTTTATTGTTGATCTTTGTAAATAGATTTCCCTAATCCAGGCATATAGTGAAGTAGAGGCCATCGAAGGGAATTCACTTCCGCTGACACTCTTAAATCTTCTGGCTCCTCACTACTTCTAAAAAACAGAAAATATTTCCTATGTTGATCAGAACCTTTCTTTCTATTGCCTTTTGTAAAGTGCTTATTTCCTTCAGCAACTCTTTCCCACTGCTTGAGAGTGACAGGACTGTCAACCTCCAACGTGTCTGGCCTCCCTTGCCAGAACAGATTGACCAGTGCCTCACCCCAGGTAGTAGACTTACCATGGGATCCCCTTTGGGAAAAGAGTTCTGCAATTTGACGTTTTTCAATATTCTTTTCATTCTGAACCTTAGCATCAGAATCCAAGCATTCCTCATTTTTTTAAGAACTTTGGACAGAATGGAAGTAAGGTTTCTTTTTGCATTCTTCCTGTTTCACTGCAGCATCATTATCATCTCTTTTTTCTGTTTTTTGTTTTGTTTGTTTGGTTGGTTGTTTTTTTTTTGGTGCTGAAACCCAGGAAGGAACCATTATTGTCTTTTTAACTATATAAAATGTTAATGGAGGCCTAAGGGGGATGTTGTATTTCTGTAATTAATGGTTTTGAGCTGGAAAAATCATTCTTAATTATTGCTTTCAAAAGTGAAATAATGGTCTGCATTGCCATCATTTCTAGCATGTATGTTTAGAAATCCAATATATAGAAGTTCTTTTAATGATTACTGTTTTCACAGTTACTTGATTGTTTTTGTCACTATTAGACCCAAAATTACTTGATATGAATTATATAGTAGTTAAACTCTGTAGATGTGTGGAATTTTACCAATCCCTGTGAGTTCTGAACAATTCAAAGCTTTCTGAATCTTGGTGTTTTTGTTTTTTTCCCTAAATCTCTACAGACTTCTGAAGTGAAGTTGTAGTTCTGAAATGTATGTGGTTCAGAATTATAGACTAAGATGCACTGGCTAAGTAGACTTGAGTCTTCTAATTACTGGCCACAATGACTTAACTAAACATGTTAAGCTGATTAAAAGTTTAAGCAGTGTTTGCAGTTAAAATAATTTCTAGGTGAGCATTTGCTGCATTTCACCACACTAGGGGCAAAGGATTCTAATCCTCAAAACAGATTGAGTGCTGGCAAGTTCAATTTCATACAGCATTTACAAGTATATTTATATGGAACTGAAATTAATTATGCAGAACAATTTGTTTCAATACCTGTAATTATGAAACACGCAACTGTAAAAAACAGAGAGCCTTTATTGTTATTGATACACTTGAAGGGTTTCCCACTAATGCTCCCCTCCTTGGCAAATTTTTATATGGTTTTAAAAAAATTCTTCTCTACAAAATTAATTTTAATTTTCTGTAAGTCAATCAAAGGGTGTTTTCTGCCAGAGTGAGCCATATAATTAGATGAGGTATTGTTTCAACTGCACAAAACTGAGAATTCAATTTTACAAATATTTACTGGGGTACAAAGATCAATAAGACCAAATCCCTGCCCACTTGCAATATAAGTCTTAGAATAAAGAGGGGATATGTAACAAAGGTCTTAGATTGAGGGCTCAACTCATTTTGTGTGACTGCTGTATTTGGGTGAGCCTAAGAGTCCCAAATATTAATCTGGGAGAAGGCCAATGGAGCATTTCTTTACCACCCACTCTTCTACCCACAGTTGGGATAGGCCCCTCTCTTAGGAGAAAATGTTATATATGTAAATTTACCAAATAGGTAAATTTTGGGGAAAAGGATAGGCTTATTCCATTATAAAACAGAGGGGTCAAACCTATTTCTTTTTTCTTTTTTTTTTAGGAAGATTAGCCCTGAGCTAATTGCTGCCAATCCTCCTCTTTTTGCAGAGGAAGGCTGGCCCTGAGCTAACATCCATGCCCATCTTCCTCTACTTTGTATGTGGGACGCCTACCACAGCATGGTGTGCCAAGCAGTGCTGTGTCCTCACCTGGGAACCGATGAACCCCGGGCCACCGAAGCAGAACGTGTGCACTTAACCGCTGCACCACTGGGCAGGCCCCCTCAAGCCTAGCTCTAAATGATTTATTGTAAAGATCACTTAAATAGCAAATGCCTGTGGTGACATTAGCATTGAATCACTTTTGCAAAAATTCAATTTTCCAAAGGTGACAACCCGTAAGACCAAAGCCTAAGATGGTGATGATTATAGAGTGAACGTTTTGTAATAAGAGGACATCTTTCAAAAGCTGACATATTTGGTTGGCATTATTAGCTGTTAAATTGACAATGTACCTGATCACCTCAGTCAAGGCCAAAAGATGGACATAAGGCACAGGGTGAAAATATGAGGTGTGACCCCTCTAAAATTTGGCTTTTCTCCCTGCCCACAAAAATACTATATTATAATTGAAAACAGAATATGGGCAATGAACCATTTTTACACCAAACTGTTAATTTAAAACGAATATGTTTAAAAGAAAAAACTGGGAAACAGTTGCTGA